ATAGAGTTTGTTCTACAGTTGACTTTTAATGGATTAATTTTAATTATTTATGGGGTATTTTTAATTGTTTATGGGTTTTTGATTTTAATAGTGAGCTGCCCAGAGTCACCTGTTGGGGAAGATGGGCGGAATACAAATTTAATAATAAATAAAATGTGTGTGTGGGAAATATAAGTGATACGAAAGTGCTTTCTATTATCTTTGGGAAGAGATGATGGTATATGATAATACTATTAAGATCTTTATATGCACATAGATGACAAAAACAGATATTTAGGATTGGACATTAATGGCAGTGGCAGAGATGGTGACATAGTGTATTGAAATTAAAAAAGGGAGGGTTAGCCTTGCTTCTGTTTGGAAATCGTTTTGGGTTTTTTTGCTTGGGATTGTAAAATGCTATGTTGACTTGGTGTTTTGACAATTATTAGATTTTAGGATTAGAGAAGTATTTTATATTAGTTATATTTTTAGAGTAAAAGATGTATTTTATATTTATATCTGCAACAGAAAGTCAGAAGTCACGTATTCTTTCTGTCCATTTTCCTTTCCTGCACTTTTAACTTTATCTTTTTCTGAACTTTTCTTTGTTTGTTCTGTTTCCTTATATTTTATTCTTTATTGAAAATTAATAAAGTTGAAAAAAAAGAATTTATCATTTCTTTTCTTTGGAATAAAGGTTTCTGAGTGTTGTGGCATAGGATAGGCCAAAAAGCTTGCCAAAGAAAGCAAGTTTGTAGAACTGCTGACAAAGTTTTCTTCCTGTTCCCTTATGCCTGACAGGCTTTATCATCCCATCTTAGAGACATACAACTCCCTTTAGCAACTTCTTTTTATTTTCTCTTTTAATACAAAAGAAACAAGCAGACAAAACCCCGTTATCCTACCGCCACTTTCCCCTCTACCCCACCCCACTCCCCCACCCTCATCCAGGAGTGCAGCCTTGCTTTGCTGCTGACTCCAAAATCAGTTTTTCAGGAGACATCCAAATGCTAGTTCTCTTCAATCAAAGTTAGATCCAGATCACTAAAGTCTGGCTGGAAGAGTGTCCTTTTGCTTGCTAAACTCCAATTTATTTGTCTTGCTGCTTGTACTGCTGCTTCTTCTTCATCATCCTCTTCACTTTCACTGAGCACCTGGATACAATTATTGATAGGACTGCAAGGAGCTGAGGGTGCTTGTGGGCTGCAAGCCAAGAGCCACGATGGATAGCCACCTTCCTCAGATTTGTCTAACTGACAGACTCCCCCTGCAAATGGTTTCTGTCAAAAAACAAAGAAATGTATATTTCAACACATTTATCTTGTGTTCTAATGTCAGCTTATAAGCATATACATGGTTAGGTGAATTAGAACACTAGTGTGACTTGCTGTAGTTATTGCTCAGTTGCAGAAATTATATCATCATCATCATCATAATTGCACTGTTATATAAGAAACTATTATTATTACTAAATACAGGAGATATTCCAGATATTCATCTTGCTGGGATGCAGACATGAATTTTCAAAAACTGCTTTTATTAACAAATAAAATCTGCCAAGTCTATGGCAAGTATTGCTCCCATAAATCCTTTCTGAATCATTCTAGATTCACATAACCTGTTCTATTGCCATCTTTACTACTCCCAAGCTATCCTTACTAATTTTATCTATAGTCTCTCCAACCTCTGGCTATAGATTGCATTACAGATAATCCTTGGTTAATGACCACTTGTTCAGCGACTGTTCAAAGTTACAACAGCACTGAATGAGTGGTACTTACAACCAGTCCTCGAAGTTCCAGACATCCTAGCACCCTCACGGTCATGTGATTGCCACTTGCGATCTTCCCTGCTAGCTCCCCACAAGCAAAGTCAACGTGGAAGCCGGCAGAGAAGGCTGTAGTTGCTCTTGCCGCTTTCCCACATACCATCCCACACACTGCAGCACCCACCCTGCACATGGCCACACTCGCACTAGGTTACAGCAGCCACTCCTGCCCTCCAGAGCACCCACACTGCACCTAGCCATGCTTGTGCCAGGCTGCAGGACCCACTCCGCACTCGGCCGGCCTGCAGCAGTCACTTATCTGTCCACCGGCTTGCTTGCAAGCTTCCCAGGACTTGTGACTTCCTGCCAACTTCCCCATTGACTTTGCTTGTTGGAAGCCGGCAGGAAGTCGCGAAGAGGTCCTTGCTTAATGACCCATGGTCCTCGCTTAACAACAGCAACAGGGACTGCCTGGATTATCACCACTAAGCGATGCTGTCACAATGTTGTACTTTACAACCGCATCACTTAGTGATGGAAATTCTAGCCCCAATTACCATTGTTAAGTGAGGACCACCTGTAGTCTAGTCCCACTAATTTCAGCATTTTTCAATTATTTTAGTAAGGATCATGATATCTTGGGTATTTTTTTGTTTGCCTATACAAAAAAAGAAAAACAGGAGCCATAGTGGAATGCTTTGTTCTATGTATGAAAAACACTGCCTTTGTAATGTGAGCTCTCTTCAGCCACTTTGGTTCTAATTCTCCCTGCTCATGAAAGGTTTCAAATAACCACTGGCTGTTTTAACAATAAACCGACATCCCACTAATACAAGTCATTATAAATCCTAGAATTCATCAAGACTTACCAAGTTATTTCAACATATAGAAGGATCTGTTTTATATAGGATCTGGTCTGCCATTTGTATTAAATACACAAGGAGCAACGTAATTTGTTGTCATCAAGATAATCCCCAACTTTTTCCACAGTGTATTGTACTCAACAGATTGCATATCACCATGTAACTGTTAAATGTAAGATGTGTTTTGCTACATAGGCAAATCCAGCTGTATTTCAGTGGTTTTTCAGTTTTTGACCTCCATTTCACTTCAACCTTTCAATGATTTTGCAGGGAGGCTTTGATCCACATAGCTCTGAAGCCAAGTAGATGATGCTTCCTTTCTTACCTGATTCATCTTGTAGAAATCAAGTGAGGGCCTATGCCACCTCACATCCTCTTCATGGCGCCGCTTGAGACCACATTTCCTGGTGTCCAAGTCACAAGGCTGTGAGCGGCTGCGAGGGAGGCTATGCTGGTGTCGAAGTAGCTCTGGCGTGGAAGTGGTAGAGCTTTGGGGGGATGGCAAGAATCTGACAGGAGACAGAGAGAAACGTCGTTGCAGAGGGTAAGGCTGCAAAGTCTCTCCAGTCTCCCATGGTACACTTGCTGGCGATTCTCGAGACAGAGCCAGACTGAAGAAAGGTGGGCTCCTGCCACCAACAGCACCATCTTGAACACACTGATAAGAGGCACTGGGGACTGGATTGAAGCAAAGTCTGTTGGCTTCCTGAACCAGGTTCTGGGATTGTACTGCTAAAGTGTCCCCTCCACTGTTCTCCCGACGTTTGATATGTGTCCACACTTTGGAACCCAGGGGTCTCCAGACAGCTTGCCAGCGGGAAAGATCTTCGGGCACTGACAGTGAACGACAGTGTCTTTTGGTAGGGGGCACAGAAACTTTTTCTGAAACTAATGAGTTGGTGGCCAGTGTTTGGGATGCAAGATTGTTCCGAGGGCTGTTTTCTGGGCTGCAAGTTGGCAAAGGAAGGCTCAGGCTGGACTGTTGGTAAAGAACCGTGTTGTCTTGGAGATGGATCTTTGGACAGGGAGCTAGGTCCCTCCATGAAGTTCCCTCTGTAAGAAATAACACAAGATAGAAAATTTAAGTTGAGAGACTCAACTGTCACCCAGATCAACCTAGTTAAATATTCTCTGACACGTGATTTAATAAAAAGATAGTGGATTCCTGTGATGGAATGGTTTGACGAAGACCGCGCTTGGGGAGATAAGCATTTCCTTAGCCCCCAACAGGAGCGTGGGAAGGTAAAGCGTATGAGACTGGCACCACCCTAAGGAATTCACGGTGTTTTGGCTGGCTGGCTTGGGAAGTGTAGATTCAGTCTGGAGATATTCTGAGTGGCTGAAGCTAATAAATGCAACAGAACTGTATCTGTACTG